GAGAGAGAGAGAGAGAGAGAGAGAGAGAGAGAGAGAGAGAGAGAGAGAGAGAGAGAGAGAGAGAGAGAGAGAGGAATTCACACTCCTGGCCGGTGATGATGGTGGGATCACAGGCGCGGTGATGATGACGGGAATGGGTACGTCAATGGTGATCGGCCTCCTGTCATCATCTTGCCGGCGTTTCGAAGGACGTTTGATGGTTGATTGTTGGCACTTTCTGTTTTAATTCAAATGGTGGGAAATGTTTTTTTTTTTATAATGTTTTTTAATTTTTTGAAATTGGTGGGAAATGTTTATGATCTTGATGAAGATGTTTTCTCGGCTAAGATTGGATTGGCTCACAGCAGTCGCAGATCCCGACGGACTCCGATTGTGTTGAGTGTTTTTATTTTATATATATATCGTCACAAACAGAACTGCATATTTTAAATCCATGGGAGTGATGGAAGTGTGGATGATCTTGACGGATGCGATCGAGCGAGCGATCGAAGTGTGTTGAGTTTTTTTTTTTTTTTTTTTTTTTAACATGGGGGTAGATTCGCACATTATTTTTTTATACACTATGTTCTTCTCTCAAATTCTTTTTCGCCTTTCACTACCTTCCTACCACTACTCCTAAGACTATATAGAGGGGACCCCTGCCAGCATAGAGCCTCGCAAACGAGGTAATTCATGTTCCCCCCCGCCCCAATAGCGGTAGTCAGAGATGGGGGGTGGGGCCGCCGGTGGCCGTTCACCTCTTTTTTATTATTATTATTATTTTTGTTTTTAATTTACCATTCACCCTCATGGCCTACTCTCCTCTTTTCATACGTGATCACGCCCATGGACGCGGTGCCTTTCCGCCTGCCGTGGCATGATTCCACTTGCAATACTGACCTTAGATAGACGAGGTCGATCGACGGCCAGCATCTCTACGGTGGTGCTCCGTGCACGTGCAACTAAACTACACCCCCATCTTTCCCCCCCCCCCCCCAAAGTCGTACTCCGTGCACGTTAGATTTTTTTTAATTTTATTTTATTTAAATAAGCTATATTCTTCTCTCATCTATCTCATATTCTTTGTCTTTTCTTGGTAGTACGCATCTATCTCATCCTCTCACTAGTCTATTTACAGTACGGGGGAACACGAACCAACCCGGATCTCTCCCCAGCCCACGGGGTAGGTTTGCACCACAGCTGTGGTGCGCGAGCAAGGCTGTACCAGTCCCTCATCACGGTGACGAGGGGTGGGCAGGCATTGCCGATGGGGGAAATCGGCGGTCCTAGCACCGAGCAATGGCCAGTCACTGCACCTCCCCCTAACCCCCCCAACCCCACATGGCGGTGTCTAATGGCCAATATTGTCGCTGCATAGCAACCAACAACATCAGCCAAGGTCCTGCCACCAACGCTGGCTTGGGGGCCCAACGGGTTATCTCTAGCTGGTAGAACACCAAGCTTGCCCAGGCACGTCCATGAGGCGTGCGGGGATTGAACCCACGACCTCCTGAATGCAACTTCTGTGCCTTACCAACCGTAGTAATAGACGTAAAAGAAAGTGCAGAGTCGGTTAAGACCGGCGGGAAAGCTCCACACATAGGCGCATAACGCAGCCGAAATCTGTGAACAAAAGATCTCGAAATCTCAACATTTCAAAAACTCCAAAAAAAAAAAAAAAAACATTTCAAAAACTGAGCTAGGCCCGCAGGCCTGCAGGTTAGATTTTCGAAAGGTTCTCGCCCTCTCTTCGTTCCATTGACTCGCTTTTCGAAGACGGGTACCGATTGTTCGCGTGCTGATAGACATTGGACTCCACACCTCCAAGCGCGACCCTTCCCTCCCTCCCCCGCAGGCGTGTCGCTGTCGTGACTCTTCTTCTCCCAGACAGGCGACAAAGTGTGTTCAGTCTTCTTGTGTTTACCGGGTTGTTTGTGAGGGATTCCCGGCCCTCCTTGTGTTTACCTGATAATAAAACTTGCCTTTTCGCTCTCTCTCTCAAAAAAAAAAAAAAAAAAAAGTGTGCTCAGTCTTCTTAGACATGGCGAGTCGATCGGTGACGGAAGAAGAGGACGCTAGCGAGCTCAAGCTCGGTGAAGGTGAGATTTTTTGTTCCCCGCTTTTGTGCATCCAGATGCCTCTGTGTGTGTGTGTGTGTGTGTGTGTGTG